GATGATCAAGTTAGTGCCAAACTCTGTGTTTTGTTCCTCATTATCTCGACTTTATCCACTACTGATCTCGCCAACGTTCTACAATCTCTCCCAAAGCTTTCTACCCTCGAGGTCCACGTCAAAAATGGGGTTTTAGTAGGCAATAACCAAAATGTAATTCACTCAAGATTGTCACACTTGAAGAACTTTTCTACTTGTTCATTTGTCGCCTCACAAACTCTCGGACCCCTAGTCGATGCACCTGGACTGATTCATCTTACTCTTGAAGAACAAGTCGGGCCCAAGACGGTGGTGCAACCTGATTTATGGGAATCGTGTGTTTCTCATTGCAAGTTGGATAAAAGAATAAGCCGCCTGACATTGGCTGGAAATACCTTCGAAAACGGAGATGCCCAGATGTTATCCAAGATTTCTGCGTGGACAGGAGTGCAGCATCTCAACCTGAGAGGTACGAATCAGAGTCCATTATTGACGGCTATGACGATGGATAAAGACGTCCTACCCAATGTGACATATCTCAGTCTTGAGGGAACAGATATTACTGGGACTATAATCCAAAACTTGGTTAATTCAAGAAGTCACGACGTCGAGAAGGAAACGAAAGTGGGCAGAATACAAACCCTTGTTCTGAGTGATTGCATAGGAATTGATCGAGCATTTTGCGAGGATATAGTGCAGAGAGTTGATAAACTGGCTGTACACTACTAGAGCCATCGACCGATACGTTCGCTCATAATTCCACAAATTTGGTATAAGAACCTTTAGGGCCTGGGTGAAAGCTAAAATAGCTGGTGTTGGGTGCATTTTACTAGTCAAATGAGCTTGTATCACAATGAGTGGTGTCTACATTGCGATCAGATGCTTAATTAATGACCATCTCCGATCATTCTGGCTCTTTTGATTGGTCATTTCTCTAGCAATCTTGTGGCTTTCTCACAAATTTGACGATTTGACGGTATACTATCAAGAGATATGCGTACATATGCTCATTCATGACACTACAATTCGATACAAGACCCTCTGAAACTTGCGCACGAAGCCGATATAGCCGACTATCAGGTACACTTTGCTAGAAGAAGTTCATCGAACTATAAAGGATGGAGATGTTGCGATCCCTGGGATGGTCACTGTTTCGGATAGTGTTAACCGCATCCACAGGAATTTAGGACCATGGACGATGCAAATGAAGTCTATAAACCATGATGAGAATTTAACTCGTCTATTCACTGCCTTGTACTCACAATTATGACCATTTCGAAAGCTAATGAATGGGATCCCTTCAATGAGATAGGTACTAAGGTGCAACGGAGGGGGACTTTTGAAGATAGGGTTTCTTGAAATACCTAGGGTGATCACCTTCTTGACGGTCATAATACAATTTGTAAGTGAAGGGATCTTCAGTGATTATAGGACGGGAGGGTTGATGTGGACACTGCAATTTCGTTTGCCCAAGGGAGCCGATCGAGTTTCTCATATACTGGAGCTCTTTCCCAAATCGTTCAAAAACCAATCGATAGATCTCCCTGTCCTCTACCGGCTGTAGATTTGTTTCTAGAACCGTATAGGCATATACTAGGAGTTTGCGCATTGCAATTAGGTATGTTCCAAAGAAGGGTTGGTCATAGGTGTCCTCGAAAAATCCTTCTGCCCACATAACACAAAAGCGAGTCGAAGCCGGAAGTTCTCTATCTCTGTTGAAGAGAAGGGTGCATTGCACTTCTCTATATTCATCCAGGATCCCAGT